AGAGCGCTACCTTCAGGGTCTAAAGTGCGGATCGAATCTCTGCTGACATCCAAAGGACAAGCTGTGAATTGCACGATCAATCCGCCCCTTTCAGATAGATGGATAGACAGAGATACTTTATTTACCCAGAAGGATAAATAAAGACCTTTTGCAGGTCTTTTAACTGCGCCTAGTTACTAATACAGCGCAGTTCAAAGTCTCTGACATGGAAAAGCAGTGCATAGAGGGAGGGAGGGATGGATGGATGGATAACAGAGTGGAGTTATTTGTAAAAGGTTTTCCCTAATGATTCAATGTTTTCATTTAAAGTGATGACAGGAGGCGATTTTATTACTACCACATGACTGGTTAATCAAGAAGTTTCAAATTAGCCGGTTTTGGAAGTACAATAGGTTACACAATGGCTTAATTCCACCCCAAAATGGAAAACAATAGAATTTGCGTCCTTTTAGCCACGGGAGTGACGTGGCTAGGGTGCTGGATAAACAAGGTATTAATTTAAATATATTAAATTAATGTATTTATTTTTTTAAAAAAAGCAACTAACATTTCAGTGGCAATAATTTAAACTTGTGACCTTGTCTTCAAACAATAACAAGTCAAATAAGATTTCAAGTATTTGCATATACTTAGCCTGGCCTGAAGGTTGGGGACATCAAAATGTAACGCAAACACAATGTACAGAATGTAACAAAAAGATTTACTCTTGGAAGGTATCGGTGGTATTTATTTCGAACTGTAGAACTTAAATCTGTTTTGTACCTTTTTTTAAACTGAACTCGTGATTGCCCAAGACCGTTTATTGTATAACAATAAAAGGATGTTTAACTAGGCCGCCTATCTGAGAAAATTAGATATTCGGATAGGGTAGGACATATGATGCATAGGCAACGTTACTCCGTTCCACAGCAAAGTTTATCTAAAAAGGTTTGCCTCTAATACCAGACACAGCACTTATGTACACACAAGAAACAGTTGATTAGTCAGCTAAGTTTTTCTTTGCCTCAAACATCTGTGATGAACTACTTAATCAAACTAATGGCTTTTATTTTGCTGGCACAGATTCACTTAGAACAGGGTGACAATGCACATTTCCCTGCGTGATCCCATAAAAGTGCCCTGTGAGGTTCGGGACTCTGCTGTCCGGCTCCCTGCTTCGGCAGGATGGGCTTTCGCGCCGCTGCATGGCCGGCCGAAGGAAAAAGGAGCGGGCAGAAAATGCCAGCAAAATACGTTTAAAGTATTAAGTGACAGTCAATTTTCCTTTGGGAACAATTTATATAACCTTCGTCACTTCACTCCATGCTTAGGAATATGCACGCCGTTTCCGGGTTAGATAGGCTACTATAACCCCTACATTTAATAGACTAATAGCTTCATTTTTAAAATAGGCATATTTTCATTCACGGAACTTAGTACACAGCGGCTAATGAATGGTGAAGTACAATGGAGACACCGTTAAATGGATGTACAAAAATTATTCAATAATAGCCTACATTTATATAACGAATCAATAAAAATTATCGTCATGTCGTATAGATCACCAAAACTTGCTGAACTTGGCTTATAGGTCGGCAACTAGAACAGAACACCTCCTGGTATACCGCTGATGCCCTGGGGGGGTCAGTCCAGGTGCGTCACTGACTTCAGCCTGGAAACAACGGACCATTTCATACTGCGGACAAGCACACGATCCCTGCTCGGAAAATGCAGGCTGTGCCGGTCGAGATAAACAGCGATATGGGAAAACAAACAAACCAGAAAGTTTCAGTGTAGCGTAAAAAGGACAAGCGGGTTCATGCAAAGCCGATGGGAGCAGATGTTTCTCCCCAAGCGTCCCTGCGGCCGTGAGCTCAGCAGGCGGCTCCGCTGGAATAGCCGGCGGGGATCAGGTGTCAGCCACAGACCACATCTGAAGCAAATCCATCTAGTTAACTGGCTTTAAAATATAACTGAAAATAAGGTAGAGAATAAAGGTCACCTGAATGGATTTTAAGACTCTGGGATGTAGCTTTAAGATAAAACTATATTTATCGTGAATAATTAGGGAATCAACCGGAAGATGTGGTGAACCACTTAATCAGCCCGTCTCATACCTAGATCACAGAAAGGAGTCGGATTAAAAATATTTTTAAAAACCACGCCCAGTCCTATTCCTGACTATAAAATAAATGCAAGCTCTTAGAAGTCATGCTGCAGTATTGCTCAAATTAATTAAAAGAGCATCTCAGGATTTCTTATGATAAAATGAAAACTTGTGGCACGCCTTAAAACGATTACCGGTGGCATTCCCTTTGTGCGCAACATGTTAACTACTCTCCAGAATATGTGAGGTCTCCTTTTTCAGCAATCCAAACAGTTGTCGCTGCATCATATCAACCCCGCCGGCGCGGAATAACAAAGTTAATCAAATGATAAGGTCTGGACGTGAGGATGGCAGACATGGGTAGTTATTCTACACAGGACACTCGTTAATCCATAACAGACGACTGCTTCTCATAACACACACCGTACAGCGGTAGATCCTTTACCATGTCTACAGGAAAAGGTTTTTTTAAAAGAAGGAGAAGCAGACAAAGGGGGAAAATGCACAGCACACATTTGTCATGCTGATTCTCAGCCTCCCATCAGAAAATAAAGGGGGAGTTATGCTCAATCCAGTCATGCAATCAATATGACTTGTCTGTGAAGTGGATCAATAATGCTTTCCTCTAAAATCATCCATCACGGCCGCGTTGAATATAAAAAGCATAATTAGGATCGCTGTTCTTAAACATCCCGTATTGACTTCTTTCAGGGATGAAGAAAGACGCCATTCTGCATCATTAACTTTGTATTATTGCCTGATGGAGTCACGGCGGTGCACTTCCCCTGGTTTCCCTTATGCTCTGATTGGCATTTCAAGCTGATTTTTTTTTCTTTTCGTGTAGAGGAGATCAAATGATGCTCAGAGATACAATATGACTCCAGGCCCCTTTAAATGGTTTGGTTTGGAGCAAAGCCACGACTTGGCTTATTTAGTGAGGTGCATGTATCCATGGGGACTAGGATTATACGCACATGTGCCTAGTGTCACTTAGCATCGTTGATATTAAATATTTAAAGTGAGGCAGACTAAAGTATATTCAGATATAACTGCAGGAATTGAAACCATGTTCCTATATGAGCTTGTGCAATACCATGCCTGATGTTTCAGATGTGTAGTAAATTGTTAAAGAAAACTATTTTCAACTTTCCATCACACTCCATGTTTCTGTTCTTCAGGGTGGATGGCAAAAATGTTTATGAATTACTGTAGATGTGATATATGGTCACAGATGTATTTCAGACTATTCATTTGCTTTACATAGACCTACATTTTAGAAAGAACTGTAATAATTGTTTAAAAATAATTTTAAGTTTTCCTTTTCGCGAAGCATTTTAATAACAACGAATCCCTGTAGATTGATAAAATATAACATTAAACGAAAGGCAAATTCTATGAAACAGAGACAATTATAGCAATTTGACTCCTCTGCCCAACCCAAGCAGGGTCTAGAATCACCTACAAGTATAAAGCAGGCATATAGCCACATGGTAAATGTAGCCAGGTAGAAAGTCTGAACCCCCCTCCAAACCTATGGCTCAGGTTGCCAGACAACCTCCAAAATTTATTTCTGGCCTTATGCCTGGTATAAAGTACAAAGTCGTTGTTGCTGATAAAAGACCTGGTAACTGGATTTAACACCTCAGTCTCCCATGGCAGCAACATGTGCTTAGTTAAAGGTAGTAGACTGCCATAAAAAGCATCCCAGGGAAAGTATTCAGTCTTCATACCCGTAGACTATACATTCCATTCTTCTAATAACAGTTATTTAGATAAAGCAAAACATAGTCCTGTGGAATGTTTAATGTATTCCACCTACACATTTCATTTACAGAATTAATCAATACTGAGAAAGGAGCAGGTGTGTTGTTGTAATAGTGTCATTTATATTGGTTGTCAGAGAAACATAAGTAGTTGACCAGATGTAGGTAGATCAGACTCTACAATCGAGCACCGAATCAAATTACGTGCCCTAGGATAGTATTGAATTCAGTCTGATCTGAGACAAACATTATAAAGTGAAACTGGATAATGATTTATTTCAGACTTTATTACGTAGAAAGTTACATAATGAATTATACATTGTGGTTGCGCATTCTACAATAGTCATAAATGCTCACTCTCCAATGGTGTTCAATTAATTTAATCGAAGTGGCAATTTCCTTCTACTGGTTTTGTGGAACAATGTCAATTAATACCGTGTTGACTGGAAACAAAATTATGCGGTTCAGTCAAGTGCATGTATATATATATATATTTATTTTATATATATAAAAAACACTCTAAGGGTTACTGTTGTTACGGCGACTGTACTTGTGCATATCTTTTTGATTTTTTCAGAGGGTCTTCATAGTTTATGTGGAAGTAGTAATAAAATAACATTCAATTAACCTCATTAATCAGGAAAATAAGCACGGTTCTGGTGATATAGTGTTAAACCGCATAATAATTTTAGTATCGATACTTTTATATAAATTAATCTAATACAATGTGACATTCTAAGTAATACAGATAGAAATATCACTCACTCATAGTTGGTAACTGCACATTTAAATCGTTATTTTCCTGGAAGCAGCAGACAGTGTATGGGATTTATTTAGTTGCCTACAGAAAATGATAAATAGCTCATTGCATAATGTATGAGGCACTAATTTAAAGATTGAATACCAAGCTCAATAAGTTATTTTCAATCAGGCGTTGTGTAGACGCCTCGTTTTTCTGGGGGAGGCCTACCTCGTGCCTGTCTCTTTCTGCACTTGTTTTGACTACGCATGCGCCGGAAGTTGCTGCCGCAGACAGCAGCAGTGATTCGGCGACTGATAGCAGCGAAGCTAAAAATACAGCGTCTAAATAACAAATCATAATGCAGCTGTAAGAATTGTCTGTCGCCGAGCTTTATGGAGAGTAAGTGTGTTCCTTCAGGATGTAATTAATAGCATTGCTTTTAGATACGATTGTCACTTCCAATTGTAAAGCTGCTGATACAACAAAGAGGGGGCTCCAGCCCTTCGGTATTAACTAGGTCCCTAGCGAACATAATGGCAACTTCAGCCATGCAGTTAGCTATGTTAACTAGTGTTGTTTTTCCTTATTTAAAACAAACTGGCTTCAGTATCTGTAACTGGTGTTTTTACGTTAGAAAATTCGTGCACATTTTATGTGGAAATGTATTGCTCTATACATTTTTGAAATCGGGTAATATATAGCTGTATAAGTAAGATCCTAAAAAAATCGAATATATTTGCAGAATTCTGCTGTTCGTCCAGAACACGCATTATCTGGTTTATGGAGTACGGAACTGAACATAATGCTATTGTTTTGACAGCTTACTGGCTAGTTAAACTTGGCTGATTTATAAACGGATGCATTATTGTTGTAGCTAAATGCTTTTTTAATATTCTGTGCGTTGTTTCCTTTTGTTATGTCATTTTTTTGTCAAATGTATTACTGACTAATTGCCACTGGAACTCATACTCATGTGTATGGTTATGTACTTAGCTTCTGCAGCAGCCTATTTTAAACGTGAGGAAGATGTAATGCAGTGTTGCAACCCAACTTTATTGCAGTCAAGTTCGCCATAAGCTTGAAGCATTTGGAAGCATTCAGCCTTGTGTTTGGAAAATACGGGCTTTTTCGAAGATCTCATTGACAGCAGTGCATCAGTGGTTTGACATTTGCAAAATGTTGCACTGTAACTGTCTTTGGGCTAGTGTGTACAGTTCTCTTGTAAAGGTTTGATTTACGGTTGAAAAGGTCGCAGAAATGTTTGTGCTTCGGCTTTTGACTGGCACCATTTAACCAACTTTAATTATAGATAATTATTTCCATGAATGGCGTGACAGGGTAATTTCTTCCAATTAATGCGAGTACATGGTTTCGTGTATTTGTTGTGACTTCTGAGGTTTTTCTGATGATCTATGCCTTGCCTATCTGCATTATGAACTAATTATATAGCTTTTTCTTTCATTTGAAAACAAGTATTACAGGTATGTCTAATGATTTCGAAAAGATGCACATGCAGGTTGAGATTTACATGCATTATTAAATAATGGGGTGTGTTTAAATGCAGATGTTGTGCGTTTGCGCAAATGCTTTCCAGTCGTTCGTGCTAATTTCTTTAGAAACCTCTCCTACAAACTCCATTGAGAGGGTCGGCAAGGTAACAAAGGGGTGACGTCATTCTGTATATCCGGCTTTGTGACCTCGTGTGCGGAATCCCCGCCTCTTTCATTCGGGCCTGGCTTACTGATTGGTGGTTTTATTCCCGACGACGCTTCCGGTTCGATAAGGAGCCAATCGGAAGCTGTTTAGGTGGAACTTCCGGGTCGGTGTTTTAAAAAAAATGTGGGCTGAGTCTTTCGGCTGTGGGAGGAGTAAAGGGCTTCGGGTAGTGTGGCTGGAGCGGGGTAGGTCCACTGGCTGCGTTTCTTTTCGGGGTGGATTTCTAATGTGGCTGAGATACTGAAAAACTGGAACCATGTATTTTTTTAAGCTAGAGGGTCACTGATAATTGCGCCCCTTTCTGGGAAGAGCCCCAATGCAGCATTCATTTAAAGCAGTAACCTGGGGTAAGGATGGACAGTATTTTCCTGCCTAATGCTTTTTTTACATTGTATTCCGTAGTGTATCCCAGAAGGGAAATGCAACTCGCTTTTTATACGCTTTTCTTGTTCATGTCTTCTTAATGTGCGTCTATAGTTTTAAGTTCGCTCCTGTTTGAAATTTCCGACAGGGAAAAGATTTATTTATCGACATATCTAGGCAATTAGCCGTTGTATAACGTGCATAAATTTTGATTATAAAATATTTTTGCGTATCGTAATTAAATTGTAAAAATATTGCATATCTTACATGTTTCCGTTTCTGTATTTTTTTTCTAAATTGGATTGACCAGTCGTCTGTATGGTATAAAATAAATATACAGATATATATTGCGACTTTCAGCTGCCTGGTAAATATTGCGAATGAGTGTGGATGTCGTTCTTGTGCTGATTTTGCTGTGGACGTGCCTTTCGTGTGCTGTTTTACGGCCCTGACCCTTTTCCCCAGATAAAGAGCAGCCTCTTTTATTTGGCTGTAATAGTTGTCTTGTGTCAGTTTGTAAACGGGAAACGCTGATTCATGTTATTATGTATGTTCCACATATTAACAAAGACCCGGTAATAAAATTTAAGTACTCCGGCTCTCATTCCTGGTACTTTTATCGGCGATCGCATGTTTTTTCCCCTCTGGACCTAACAGCGAAATTTAACGATAAAATTGCTAAAAGGACTTTAAACTGTTTCTGAATGAGCATCTTAAAACCTTACAGTTTCCCCGTGAATGTCGGTGTATTTTCCATTCGATTCCGATATGCCTGTTTCCGATTTACTTTTACTCAGCACTTCTCCACACACATGGAATCTATGTATCCAAATATACCTCTGTGTCTGGGGTGGGCTGGAGATTATTAGTTTGGCACCTTGTCTAGTATAACTTTAGTTATGTATTTGCTAATTAACTCAGTGGGATCCTGTCCGAAGGCAAAGGGGTTTTCAGAATGGGGGGGGAGGATCTCCTCGCCTTCACGCATGTTAATAACGCCTCTCCTCTCATTATAACAGGAGATGACGGGTAACTTAGCAGGAATGCGGTAGATACAATAGCGGCTTAAATAGTTGCCCTTTATCCTGCAAATAATCTGGCTAAAGAGAGGAGTGCCGGTGTGATTGGGGCCAGAGGACAAGCACGCTAAACATACCTCGCTCGGCCTTGGCTCTGCTATGTGCTAATTAGCTACTGTTAAGATTATAAGGTCGTTACTGTTTAGAGATCCGCTTATGCTTCATTGATTATCCATAGCAAAGTAAGACTATAGCTCGGCGCAAATGAAAGCATAATAGCAGTATGCATTTCATTAATGTCTTATGTATGTATTATAGGGTTAGGATGGTAGTGTGTGGTTTCAGAGAATAGTGATTGTGTGTGTGTATGTGTACATACCCCACAGCTTCTGAGAAGGTCGTTGTGACAACGTAATAGTCATGCGTGTCAGAATCAATAAGCCTTTGTTGTGTTATAATGTCACCCCCCATGACACAGACAGGGCTGTCATCGCCTTTTGACAGCGACCGGCGATAATCGGCAGTCGTGCCGTTAGCAGCACTGGATTCCTTCATTCGTTCCGGGGTGGCTGTGATCTCACTGGCAGCTTTTTGCTCCCTGGCTCGTCTTGCAAGTACAGGTTACTGCTAATAATTTAGCACCTTGGGGACTGACTTCAAATCACAAAGTCAAATGAAAGAAGCTGTGAGGGGTGGCGCGGCAGCCCTTACACTTCTGATGCTCTGCAGTGATTCAGAATCACTATTCGCTGAGTTAATGTAATAGCAGCTTTTTCAAATTTATTGAATTTTTCACCCTTTGAACAGGGGAAAAAGTTGCTGCCTGAAATTAAAGCTCCAGAACTTGAACTCCAAGCAGCTGCTCAGTGGTCCGATCCAGATCTGTCGTCTGTAATGCCACAGGTTGTTTGCTGTCCCATGAAGCCGTTTTGTTTTGGCTGGCTGTACGCCCCCCATATTATGCAAATGTCTGGCATACCTTCACTTTATCAGATCACCCGCGTGGCTTTCTGGGGGGGGGGGCACACCGCCCGCTTGGTGACTGGCACATCGTCACGTTGGAGGCCCCAGTTTACTGCCGTCATGCACGGTGTGGTTTAAAAAAGTGGCTTAGTGGTGATCAGTGTGTTTACCGTGTTCAAGCCGACCACGAAGAGCATTCAGGCCCGGTGGTATCATTCATCAGACTGTGCTGCTTTTCATCCTGCTCAGTCCATCCCGGAGTGTCTGGAGCAGAGCACAGCAGAGTCTTCTCTGTTTGTCATGTGTGGTAAGGGGCCTAGACAGATGGCCCTCAGGGGCCCCCTTGTGCTCCCCACTTGATGATGTGTGGTAAGGGGCCTAGACAGATGGCCCTCAGGGGCCCCCTTGTGCTCCCCACTTGATGAGAGGCTGCACTCTGAGCAATCCGGCCTCTTAGGCTTGCAGGAATTGGGGGTTTGTGGTGGTAGGGGGTGGGATGGCAGGCTTAAAGCAGCGCTGAAATAGCATTTGGGGGCACGGTCAGCATCAGTAGCCTGAGTCTCGGGTCCACTGTTCTGCACAGTTCTGCTCTCTCATAGACCAGCTGATACGGGTTCCTGGGTGTTAGACACTCTCGGTTATCTCACGGCACGGTGGGGAACTGCCGCTGTTAGGAAATGGCCGCACCGCCGGATACGCCGCCGACCCATCTCCGAAAGGTGAAGAATCAATCATTCATGACGCGCGTTCCCTGTCCAGCCAGGGCGTCCCGAAATGAAAGAATGACTACGAATAATTTAGCGGCTGACCTGAGTGAGTCATTGCGGCACTGACCGAGTCCGTATCCGCATGTGGCCTTTTGCCATTGACCACCCCCCCCTCCCGCCCCCTTGTGGAGTTGTGGTGAAAGGTCACTTACGTGGAGTGTCAGGGTGGTCCGCTGTATTAATAGTCAGCGCCCCTTTGCTAGCCAGATCTGCATTGGGAGTGGCACCCCCTTGTGTTTGTGCGTGTGGCAGGGGTGCGTACGATTAATCATATTTCATGGGGATGCGGGATATGGTCGCGTTTATAGTGGGGCTGCCCGCTGGAGTTCGATGGCTGTTTCGGGGAGGGCAAGATGTGTCCACCTGATTTCGCTGCATTGAAACACCCTAAGAGGTTAAACACTGAGTGTTCCGACTGTCAAATATAATTTGATCACGCAAGAAGGTACAGTTTTATTTATGCTTGGTGTTTAAAAACGTCATTTGCATATCTTCCTGTCAGGAAGGGTGTGAATCTTCACGGGATGCTGTCAGAATATCACTTTTCTCCCTCTCCTGCCTTTGAGGGTCTGCTGTCATTTTCAGGGCCTAAATGCTATTTCACCTCTTATTTCCAGCCTTCTGTCTGGTCACACTAAGAAAGCATGCGTTTGACCCAAAGTGCCAGGAAGCGACCCGGTGGGGGGGGGTTGGATTTAAGCCGCCTGGTCTTTCTCACATGCAGCTGTTTGTTTCCTGGGTGGTGCGCTACCCCCCCTCCTGAACAGGGTGCTATTCATACATTGACTTGCCGTGTTTTGGTTCTGATTTGGTTCCAGTTATTCGCCATAAAGAATTTAGTCGATCAAGAGTTCCAAACAAAATGAATAAATTGTAGGTATTGCCCATTTTCACAACTGTGAGTGGACCTACTCTTTTTACTGTCTAAGGCCGATTTGTAGATGTTTGTAAGCTCTATGTATGTGTGGTACGCAAGTGGCCTACGCCATTGTGAGCATTTATACATGTACACTGGTGTACAGTGGTAACATTTTTGGGGAGGGCACGTGGCTACATCATACAATAATGTGTGCAATAATGAAGAAGAGAGCTACCTCAAAGATAATCCCCCCCCCCCCCCCCCCCCAGATACAAGTCCTATAGATTTGTGGAAAATCAAATGAACACGACAAGATTTATGAGGCTGGCTAAATTGGCGTGGTGCTATTTGTGCATACCTGGGACATCAGTACGGGCTGAATGGGTATTTTTTGCAGCTGGACTTACAGTACACAGGTTGCAAATACGCCTCACGCCACGCCGAATCAAAACAAATAAGTAGGCTAACCTTTATCTTTGCTTTAGAAATTTAAGTTCAGTTTGATCTAACAGCTGTTGTGTTTTAATTTTATATCAGCATTGGTGTGTTGCCTAAATAGCCAATTAGAGTAATATTCACAGGCAAGATATTATGTAAGCCTATTGCCGCATTATGCATGTAGCTGTACAAACACGATCATTGTTAATATGCTTAAAAGTTGAATTGAAAAATATTTTTTCAATAAAGTCCTTTATTGAGGAATGTACAACTTGCAGATTCAGTGTCAAAATCTTGTGCGTGTGGTGTCGGGGATTGATGAATAACTGGCTGATTGTCTATTATATGTTAGCGACTGTCGATCAAGAAACGCCAGCTCGAGTTGAAAATTTCCGTCTGTAGTTCTGATCCAAATGCCCCTTATAAATTTGCCTCAGGCCCGGTCCCATGGCACAGATCCAAACTGGTGCGAGTTTCCGCTGATCGCCGCCTTTTCTGACACCACTTTCTTTCTTTCCTGTTCTCTGAAGCCGGAATCCTTTACTTTCTTTTTCGTAAAAGATAAGAGCTGTGGAAAGTTCACTGCAGATGGGAGACAAGCGTCCGACCCGCCAGCCTGTCTGTCTGTTGTGAGACACTGCAGTGTTTGTCCTGTTTTCACTCTTTTATTTTCTTTTGAATGTTAGTGCTGTTATCTGAGACGACTGAGCTGCATTGTTTCGGGGTGTGCTGGTGCTGGTGGTGGGGGCTGTATGGGTGCTACTGAGGTGAGTCCTGCTATTTGGGTGCTGGTCTTTGTGACCTGGTCGGTCTGTCTGTCTCTGTCTCCCTCCCTCCCTGCTGATTGCCTTTGCCGTCTGCCGGCTTCAGGCAGAACCCACCTCCTGCCCCCCACAATGGGGTGTTCCAAGGTTGGACACCCGGGGCTCTGGCAGCCC